TGGATTCAGTATATAAAGCCGGTGTGGAAGCGTTTGCGTGACGAAACGGTTTTAACACGAGCATTTTCGGGCGGGAGTGTAAAATCCATATCACGGTTATTGTTAAGGATTACGGTTAACTGTTGCGTTCGGGTTAACTAATGGTAGAAGATTGGGTGGTTTGGGCTAGCGATAGGATAATGTAAATTTTCATCTGTTTTTCCCGCTGTAAACGCATGTTGCGGCGGTCATGTTCTTGCCTCAGTTTTCAACTCATTTTCTTGCAAACAATGATATATATATATATATATTTTTTTTTTTTTACCTGCTTTCCGAATGCTTACGTGATGTTCATATATGCTACTTTGCACGTGAACAATTCACTCTTGAGTATGAATGATTCTGGACGCTAATAAGCCCAAAATCATCTTTGTGGGCGGTGCAATAATTAAGATATATATAATTACGCCTTGTCTACCACGGGTCTCTGCTGCTATACTATTGTCTACTGCTAAAATACGATACTCCTGTTATTATGATGTAATATTGTGAGGCGTGAACCTGAGCCGTTGCTTGCTGCTTTCTTCAGCGTGAGTGTATCTCCATCCACGTCGGTCCAGGCGCGTGTAAGATTCGGCAATGCCTGCTGGGAGCTGTACTTCTGGAGCATGGCATTCCGACCCGCATGGACAGATGCCGTCACGATCCGAACCCGGGTAAGGCGGACAGACTCCTTCAACGACGGTTTCGCCGAGACGGGCCGGCGGAAAACACGTTCCTAAGGCCGGTTCGTTGACCTGGACCCATACTGTCCGGCCATATTTGCAGATGTATTTTTATACCTCAACGGTGTTTTTTCAACTGCAACCGACGAAAAAATATTTCCTACTCTAGAACTCACTATAGAGTTACTGTGTACTTGTGCACAATGGCGTGCGCGCTATGTGTTGCAGCGGTGTATTGGACGGTATCACGGTATTGAAGTGAAGTTATTAGGTCAAATCAAACATTAAGACTATTACTGGTACTGGTAGGTCTAGTAGTAGTACTGACAAGTTGTATTTATTAACCATCATTTTATTATTGAAACGGCCCAAGTGCCTGTGCTAACAATGAGCGGATAACCGACGCGTAACCGGCTTCTCGCGACCACATTAGCAAATATCGACTAACTCGTTTGCTAGGCTGTACACGAATAATACACATGTCCACTTACCATTTTGAGAGGTTTAGGCTCGGACACTCCTTTCGGGAAAATTCGGCGGCAAGAGTCTTGCAGAAGTCTTGACGAAGAGTTGCGTTACGAGCTCTTCTTCAGACGAGTAATTTTTACGCGGGCGGATCACCGATACTTATACTAGCAGAATTCGGAGGCGGGCTGGTAGGCGGGACTAAGTTTACGTCCACCAATGATAGCCCAGGGCGTAGAGGCGTGTACGTATGAGACTGGTACTAACGTTGGAAACATAAAATCGCATGACTAAACTGATTTTTAGAACTTGTGAAGTAAGTTGTTCTGCAAATGTGACGAGATTATAGGCTCACGATAGTCATAACTATTTATGATATTTCTGCTTACATTTATTTGCTATGGTTGCTACGTCTCATCGCATCTGTGACAGGTGCCGTCTAGTGACTGACCAATCAGCGATGCGGGCAACTTTTATGTCAGCTCGCCTGATTGGGTTGTTTCGTACTTATATCTGTGTAATTACATGATGATTATTAGCATTCAAATTTTTGAATTATTATATTCAAGAATTCGATATAGCATTAGTATTTATGTAATAATGTCCTCATTATGTCTTTATAAGATAATGTTCTCTGCAGAGCGAATGGAAATCCTGCATAGGTTTGAGATGCGCCCACTGATCTCTATAATACTTACGCTCTATAACGCTCTACATGCTCTGCTACAAGGGACAAGGATGACTTACTAGTGACACCTGGTGGATGATTGGGACGTAAAATATGTTATTGGACAAAATAAATAAATTTAAAGAGCCACACAAAACGACAGTACTTATATGTTGTTTGCAGCTAAATTGCTATGAATTACGAATTGAAAACAACAATGTTCGCAAACGTAAGTTCAGAAATGTTCTAGCACTGGATATGCGGTCTGGTCATCCTTACCCTCATATCTGTATCATTTCTCTCCACAACCACCAGTTACGGTTCGGTTTTAGAACACTTTAATATGACAATAAATGTTAGGAGATACAAGAATTAAAAATGTCAACGATTATATAATTAAAGTAGCACATCCCTATTTAACTGCACGCCGATGGAACAGCTACGCCCGTTAGATTATGGTTTCGCTTTATATACTTCTGTTTACTTTGTGAAAATCATATCCGACTCTATATGCACATAAATTGCTTAACAAATACGTTACTACTAGCGATATATTTTCGATATCTTATATATACACGTAATTCAGCATCTACATGTAACTATAGAAATTGGTATATATTTGTCTGCATATAACATACCAGATATTCTCCTAAAATAGAATACTGCCTGTCGGCTACAGAGGAAAACTTTGGAGACAGATGATAAAAAATTAAAAGGCGTATTATATAAATAATATATATATTTAGAGAGAATTTTCGTGAATACGTTTAGAAGTATGTAAAGAGAAAAGGAGACCGCGAGAAAGTGAGAGCGAGAGATGTGGGTAGAACGAGAGCGAGAGAGAAGGGTGGGGGGGCGAGAGAGGGGGAGGTAGAACTCACCGATTACTGTGGGTTCCAGGTCAACGAACACGGCCCTAGGAACGTGTTTTCCCGCGCCCGTCTCGGCGAAAAACGTGTTGAAGGAGTCGTCCGCTACACCGGGGTTCGGATCTGACGGCATCTGTCCATCGGGCTGAATGCCATGCTCCAGACAGTACAGCTCCCAGCAGGCATTGCCGATCTGTACACCCGCCTGACCGACGTGGATGGAGATACACTCACGCTGAAAGAAAGCAAGCAAGCAACGGCTCAAATTCACGCCTCACACTATAACATCATAATAACAGGAGTATCGTATTTTATTAATTATATATATATCTTAATTATTGCACCGCACAAAGAATGATTCTTGGAGCTTCATATTAAGCGTCCAGAATCATTCATACTCAAGAGTGAATTGTTCACGTATATCATTATTTGCAAGAAAATGAGTTGAAAACTGAGGCAAGAACATGACCACCGCAACACGCGGTTACAGCGGAAAATATTACATTAATCCCTATTGCTAGCCCAAACCACAATTCCTACACCTAGCTTATAACCATAACCGCAACGTTAACCGTAATCTAATCTTGACCAATAACCGTTGATATGGACTTTACACTCCCGCCGAAAATGCGTTAAAATGGCGTCACGCAAACGCTCCCACACCGGCTTTTACTGTCGCAATGGCAGCGTGTGTGCTGTAGCTGCAGGTACGGACTTGTTCTTGCTGCCAGTGGAATAACCGCGAGATGAAAAATGTTCCCTCCCCAGTGAGTAAGGCACGAAGGGTCGTTGTCGTAACAGGTACTACAGATATGTACCCGAGGTAGTTTCAGGTTGTTTAGTATTATGTTTATATTTTTATATGAGGTATGTTTAGGGTTAGGGTTAGGGTTAGAGTTAGGGTTAGGGTACATTTCTGTAGTACAAGTCTAGTACACTTTGTGTATACATATATGTACCTCGGGTACATATCTGTAGTACCTGTTACGACAACGACCCCTTGAGCGTGAGTAAGTGGGAGAATGGGCTCGGCGAAAACATGAGTCATTGCTCTACGTGGCAGCAGGAGAGGAAGTTGAGATACTAACAATCACAGGTACTTGCATGAGCCGTTTCAATAATAAAATGATGGTTAATAAATACAAGTACCAGTAATAAAATGATGGTTAATAAATACAACTTGTCAGTACTACTACTAGACCTACCAGTACCAGTAATAGTCTTAATGTTTGATTTGACCTAATAACTTCACTTCAATACCGTCCAATACACCGCTGCAACACAGCGCGCACGCCATTATGCATGCACAAATGCTGCTGTGGTATATTCCGCAGTCGCCAATGTCCTGGGATAATCTTTCAAAACTAGCCACTATGCCCAACGGTAGACTTGAATGTATGACAATGGTAAGAAAATTTGGTTCCAGGAGACATCTGTAGCGAATTTCATAGCATGTGACCTCGCAAGGAATCTTCTTGACACTCAATCGTTAAGTACCCACTGAGTGACCCTCACAGCTGATGCTGACCCAATCGAGCATCTTGTTCTTGGTACCTGTCACAGTTATTCACTCTCTCTCAGTCCCTGTATAGAACGCGAACCTACTACATTCACAGTTTCGGCCTTGGGCTTCAGCGTATGCTACGCAATCGGACTACTGGCCAGTTAAGCGAGCTTTCCCTAGACGTTTTCCTATCAACGTCTACTAGGTGGGGACTATTCCCATAGTAAACCTTCATATTAGTGGCGGTGCAGAAAAGTTCCTGAACATCACGCTACTAGTTTCCTTGCATCAACTTCCACCATTTACCCTATTTCTAACAGCGCTGCCCAGCGTTTTCCCTGTTTCCGTAGGGATCTTTCTCACTCAAGTTTGCTATCCCTACGTAAATCCCTTGCGCCCATCAGTCACGTCTTGCTCCTCCCTCTCTTTCCCTCTTTCTTTACCCCTCCTTCCCCGGTGCCTCGATTCCTTCAGCCTCCGGGCCATCCAGACTCCCATCACCTTTTGATCCAGTCAATGCCACTCTTGAGAGCGTTTGAACCCGGGAAACCGGTCTACTTATCACATGCCAGTGGCTGTTGTGTTGTATTCCAACCGCATCTCGGTCCTTCCCCCCCACTCTCCCAGTCTTTGATACTGGTCTCTTGACTTTCCTTGTACCGAATGAACATCCTTGGACACTCCGCTTCAGTGTCCCCCGTACCAACGAACCAACACTTCCCACTCGGCTCACCCCGCGCGCAGGTCTGCCAAAGAGAAGCCATAGCCCACTGTAACCTATCAAGTGGAGGTAAACTGTCGGGTAAGGTCATAATAAAAGATTTCATATGGAAAGTGGCAAGGACCTGTGGAGTTGGTGAATCTAGCATTCCGGCATGGAGTGGATTCAATGCCCTCGTCAGTACCAAGCACTGTCCCCGTTACTACGATACGATATCTTTCCCTTTATCAATGCCTCACCATCTGACTTGTCAACCATTTTTTACCACTTCGTTGAGGCTATGTCGCACATATCTGAGAGGTTGGGGCAGCATCACATACTCATTAGCCAGAGACCTTGCCATCTACAGCAAGGCCACATCATATTCTGTGGAGCAGACCGAAACCACTGGTGGCAAAGTAACGATGAGGGCCGGGAGGAATGCATCTGATAATGGTTTTCCTGGCGAGCATTGGCAAGATATTCGGAGATGGTGCGACTTCGATCGGTATGATAACGTGTCATCTATCAAGGACCACAGAACGCGAGCGGTGGGGTTCTTCCAGTTTGTTACCTACTTATAAGATCCAGGGGAGCAGACAAGTACCTAACTACAGGTTTCTCAAGGGAGTCGGAAACAAGGCAAGCCTTGCGAATTACATCTCACAGTATATCTTGGAGAATGCAGAAGAATATGTTCCCAACGACAAATCCATTATCTTGGCTGGAGGATTTAGTGAAGGAACTCTTGTGAAGGTGGTTGCTTCCATCTGGAGGCGTCATCTGTTGAATCACTGTACAGTAACCAGGAGGAGGCCGATACACGTATGATCCTGCATGCCTATGCACTATCAAAGGACCATAATAGAATCATAATCCGCTGTGACAACACAGATGTCTTGGTCTTGTTGGTTTACTATGTCAGCAGAGGACAACTGGCTGACTATGTGTACCTGTATGCTGGTCATTCAGAAAAGGAAAGATGCATTCCTGTTCATACAATTGCGGAATGAACTGTCGCCCAACAAGTATGCGAGTGTCTCCCTGCTGCTCATGCCCTCACAGGATGCGGCACCACATGTTCAATGAACAGGATAGAAAAAAAGACGGCGTACTCGAAACTGGTGAAACATGCGGACAGTCTGACAAATCCTAAGTCATTCCATGAAGACGACATAAAGGAGAGCATCACGGTAGCCCGTAGCTACACACTACTCTTCTACGGAAGAAGCAAATAGACACACTTGATGAGTTGCGGTTACATCATGGCTACAATGACAGACAAGTATGCATCAATGCTTCTCAAACAGTAGATGCTTCCAACAACATGTCCTCGCGCGCGCAAAGTACCAAACCGGATTTGGTGCAGGAGTCACATCCCAACCAAGAGTTGATCGAACCGGTTGCCATGGTGTGTCCGCTTGTGAATGATGGAGGCATTACACAGACGATGTCATCGACACTCAGCCGATCAGCTCCAGTTGAAGTTCGAGACATGACACATATCTACTGCACAGACAAGAGACTGCTTGAGTGCGAGAGGAAATGTCTTGTCTCCTTGCTGGACTAGAGTGCATCGATGCTTGTTAATGTACTGACTGAAAATCAGATCACCATACCAGAAGAGAGAAGTGGCACATAGATTTGTGTTGATAAGTGGCTATTGACATCATGGCCCACAGTGTTATGTAACCATTTAGCATTGTTGTAAACAGGGTTCATGTACCATGTTGTACTCAGCCTTCACCATGCTTCAACTGATTTTTATATCAATGCTACATCCAGACTGATGGATAGGCCTTCAGTCAGGTAGACCTATGATACTGTTGTACCATGTATTGGTGGCAGTATGCATGGAACGTCTTTTTTTTATTGCTGTCAAAATTATCAAAAATTGCCAGATATTTTTTTAATATTTTGGGCCCTTAACCCCCTTAACAGCATAGAACTGCCTAAAATGCATTGCTTCATCTATATTTCAATCAAAAACATTGATAAAACCATCAGTTCTAAACATCTGCATGACTGATTTTATAAAATATGCAAGTAAACTGAAAAAGTAGTTTTAAGGTCTGTCACAAATAAGGGGTTGTTGCAACTATGTGTAACCGTTTACCATCGCTGAAACTGATTTTTTTTATCAATATCACATCGAGGCCCTGAATACAGTCAGATCTGACACAGTGATAACATGTATTTAGTGGAATAGTGCAAGAAAATATACATTATTTTGGTCGAAATTTCCAAAAAAAATGCCAAATTTGGGGTATAATTTTGGCCCCTTAACCCCCTTAGCAGCATAAAACTGCCTCAAAAACACTGCTACATATCTATTTTAATGAAATACATTGATATAACCTCAAATTATAAAATATAATGGGGCTGATTTCATAAAATAAGCAAGTAACTGAAAATGTCAGTTTTTCAGATGTTACCATAAACAAGGGGTTAATGTACCATGTTCTACCCGTTTACCATGCTGAAACTAATTTTTTTATCAATAGCACATCTAGGCCCATGAATACAGTCAGATCTGACACCAGTGATAACATGTATTGGTTTAGTAGTGCAAGAAAATATACATTATTTTGGTCGAAATCGCCAAAAAATGCCAAATTTGGGGTATAATTTTGGCCCCTTAACCCCCTTCAGCCAGCAAAACTGCCTCAAATACATTGCTACATATCTATTTCAATGAAATACATTGATATAACCATCAATTATAAAAATATAATGGGCTAATTTTCACAAAATAAGCAAGTAACTGAAAATGTCATTTTTTCAGATGTTACCGTAAACAAGGGTTAATTCGGCATGTTGTACAAGGTTGCTGCAACTACAACATGTCTTTTCATAAAACTAGGGACCCATACGGTTAAAATCGAGACCAGTCCCCAGCTGTTATACCTCCGGTAGGGGTGCACTTGATTTTTTGGGTCTCGGTCACTGCACTACTAGTGACACCTGGTGGATGATTGAGACGTAAATATGTTATTGGACAAAATAAATAAATTTAAAGAGCCACACAAAACGACAGTACAATTATATGTTGTTTTGCAGCTAAATTGCTATGAATTACAAATTGAAAACACCAATGTTCGCAAACGTAAGTTCAAAATGTTCTCGCTGCGACTGGATATGCGGTCTGGTCATCCTTACCCTCATATCTGTATCATTTCTCTCCACAGCCCAGTTACGGTTCCGGTTTTAGAACACTTTAATATGACAATAAATGTTAGGAGATACAAGAATTAAAAATGTCAACGATATATTAATGAAAGTAGCACATCCCTATTTAACTGCACGCCGATGGAACAGCTACGCCGTTAGCATTATGGTTTCGCTTTATATACTTCTGTTTACTTCCTGTGAAAATCATATCCGACTCTATATCTCACATAAATTGCTTAACAAATACGTTACTACTAGCGATTATTTTCGATATCTTATATATACACGTAATTCAGCATCTACATGTAACTATAGAAATTGGTATATATTTGTCCGCCATATAAATACCAGATATTCTCCTAAAATAGAATCGCCTGTCGGCTACAGAGGAAAACCTTTGGAGACAGAATGATAAAAATTAAAAGGCGTATTATATAAATAATATATATATTTAGAGAGAATTTTCGTGAATACGTTTAGAAGTATGTGAACGGGTGGTGGGTGTATACGTACACGGGAATGCGTACATGAAGGTTTACCAAAAGATTTAATTTACCGAATGCAATAAGCTTTCAGTTTATGAAAATATGTTCAGAATATGAAATGAAGGAATAAAGAATGGCTGGATCTCCATTTGAACACAAGAATGATGAAAAAGGAATTAATTCAAGGAATTAAATT